ATTCGATATAACGTTCCTGATCCAAGGGTGATATTCACATGGTTACGGTCACTGTGTTTACATATGTTACCAATCATTCTATCATTTGAGGCCATACAGTGCAACTGAAATGTTGTCTAACGGGATACAAAATGTTGACACAGAATATGGACATTAATCAAGAAAGTGTGATCTCCCCTCTCTGTTCTATTGCAGGTTTCGTGCTTTCTGCAATTGGTGTTTCCCGCTGCTTTCCCTGTTGTCCCCACCTTCCATCCCCCTTCTCTTACAGGTGTTGTCCTTTCTCTGTGCTGCCTGTTTGTGCCCCCCTATCCTCGTGTCTGCCCCCCTGTCCGGCCCAGTGACAAATCATACATAATTAAAAAATAATAAAACAGACAAAGGAGTATATTAATACTCTCTTGTTAAAGTAAATCTGTCTGGCACAATATGGTATCCAGCTCATCATACTCTATACCAGGCTGCTGGGCAGGACAGGTTTAAGTAAAAAAAAAAAGGAAGTGTGATCTGTAACTGACAAAATAACTTAACCCATACAATTCTTGTCAAGTTGGACCAATAACTCATGAATTTAACATTTAGTGTTGATGTTCTCTGGAACTGAATGTAACCCACTCACTATGCACAATATCTCACAATATCAAATGGCAAAATAAGAGGCTTTTTAAAAAAATGTAAATGATATATGCAATGTAATCTGTATCAGTGGATGTATGTGCTGAAAGAAAATAGAATGACACATGTTCTCTTTTCAATTGATTTTGTATTTTTTATTGAATAAATGATTTTAAAAGGTAATAACAATGTTTAAAAACTACATTATCTTCACAGCCATTGCTTACATACTCAGATAACCCATCTATATTATATATATATTCTTTCAACCCTCCCCCACATTTTGCTAGTTTCTTTTTCTTTTGTTTTTTCTTTTGGGGGTCATACTATCATTATAAATGCCCATTTCAAGTCGCATCACACTAACAGCAATTCAATAGGAAAGGATGAAGGGTCTAGCTCTACAGGGGATGGATTTTAAGTTCCCAGTTCATATTATTCCATCAACATTTTTCAATTTACTAAAGCAGAGAAAAAAAGATCCAAAATTTAAAGAAAAAGAAATAAAAGTTGGTATGAGGAGTTACACCAGGCAACCCTCCCAGCCCATCAGGCCACTGCAACAGAAAAAAGTCATTTTGTACAGCGACACGTTGGAAGTCAGTGTCTGAAAAATTCAGAACATAGAAAACCACTAAAATAATTTTGAAACTAGATCCAAAATATTATTTTGAAAAGAATTTATTTTGATGTACAAAAACAGTCATTTCTTTTTTTATTTTCTTTTAAATTTTTTTTAATAAAAGTTTCAAACACAAGTTTATTGTAGTTCTTATTTCATTTGTCATTATTATCGATTCTTTTTTTTTTTTTTTATTCTTCTATCAGTGCGATTGTATACCAGTGCAGCTACTGGGTCCAGAGTAAAGAAAACAGGCTTTTTCATCTTTAATGGCATAAAAAATAAGGAAAAATCCATCTTTTATACAAAGTATAACTGCTGGTCTTTAGGGAAAACATTTATAAACCCATAAAGCTAGGAGGCACACCATGGGATTTTCATTTTTGTAAATTATAGCAATAATTCTAATAATACTAATACCAATAATAATAAACAAACAAGTAACAACAACTTGCAACCATTTTAACCATCCTTGATGCCATGTACGGCTTCAGAGATAGATACAATGAAATTCATTGAAAATTGGATTGCTTAATAAGTCAAGACAGTTGAGAAATCGCGCACACAAAAAAAGAAGACAAAGAACATTTTGTCAATTGCAGGGGTGTCTTTTGGAAGGACAGGAAGCCAGGCCTGAAGAGCAGCATTTGGGCATGGCCGCTGGCATCTTTGGTTCAGTCAAACATACGAAGGTAACATGAGCTTGAGCATTCCGCGAAATTTGAGAACGACACAAGGAATGCTGAGGCTGAACTCTAACCCTGGTATGGAACTGAAACACAATCTGCTACAACAAACTACACGTCGTTCCATCATATCCCATGAGGTATCAATGCTTTAAACAGTTAATCAGTACAGAAGCAGGACTATTTTCTGCGTGTTCTACGTAAAAACATTAACTCTGCATCCCATTATAGGAGATGCTTACCTTCAACATAGTTTGAGAGGCTGTGAAAGTCTCAACATGATGACCTTTTTACTAGTCAATAAATCAAACCTTGCCTTTTCAGCGGAGGTCAAACGATTCAGCAGCTAAAGGAAAACAGAGGATGTGCTCTGAAATAGCAGCATCCAATCTTCCAGGAGAGGCAACGACCACTACTACTGCCACATCTACCAAACGACACACATCATACCTTGACAAACTAGGCCATGAGGTCGGGCCATAGAGTGGGGGAGTAATCAAGGGGAAGGAGGCTACATGTGACTTCTTGTCCTTTCAAACCTGCAGGGGTGTTGACTTGCACTGGTAGGAAAAAAAAAAAAAACACCTGTTGAACAGATCTGCATATATCAAGGATAGTAAAAGGTAACATGTAGGATTTTCTCTCAATATATCATTGTTAAATTGTAATAACAGCCATTAACAGTACATTCCATAGCCCCTATGCGGTTTGCTGCAAGGACGACTCTTCATTATGTGTAAGAATATCGGTCTGTTTTTCCCATAGGGAATTGATCCCAAAATCTCCCCCGTTGGACTTGATGAAAGCACAGGTTCTTGGAGCTACTGTTTGTATCAGTGACAGTCACATCCTTCAATATTAAAATGTGCTGTCAGAACTCATTTTACAGCAATATACTAAAGAGAAAATCTTACATGTAGCATCTTTAAGTATGATATGATCAATGAGTCCGCATGACCAGTCACGAGCTGTGACCACCCCAATATGAGGTCCGATAGCACCATATTTGTCTTTTAAATCTCTTAATGGTTAATAAGAGTGTCTAAGCCATAGATCAAGCATATCATGGATAAAACCATAGGTCTCATACTATCATACATGCAACAAAATACATTGCATGTGTATACAAAGATATATAGTAAAAGAGCATGGTCAATTTGGTTTGCAGCAAGGAAAATTCAGGTTGTGCTGTATTAAATGGACCAGAAAATACATGCCTGACAGTTCCTCTTTGAAGCTTTTGTTGTAGTGTATTTATCATAAAAGCGTACATTTTACTCGAGGCATGAAATTGTCTTCCCATGGTTTAAACATTTAGGCTAACAACACCACAGTGCCCAACATTATTTTAAGAGAATGTGTCTATACGGGGCTTTCTAAAATGAAAGAATTGAGGACCAGCAGCTGGGTAAGACGTGAGCAAACAGGAGACTGCAGGCATACAAGAGCCCCCACATTTCAAAGAAAGCCATAACATTCAAGTGAGGAAACATCATCTGAGACCCTTTCCTACACTGTGGTGTGAAGATGGAACTGGGAAAGAGCAAACCATGGGACAGAGGAACACTCAGGGCATCATCTACTGCTCCATCATTTATTAAATCATTCATTTAAGGCAACACAACTTAAATCTGGGTCATTTCGGGTTACTGTGGATGGAGTGCCAAAAGCCCTTGACGTTTTGCATAAAGAAAAATAACCTGTCAGTTAGTAAAGGCTGTTACGAAGAAAGATGTTGGTCCAGTAACAAGAACCTCTCAAAAATTCCAGTTAGCAAAACTAAGACTGAACCCAAAGCAAGTGGATCACAGTTCAAACATTCTGTAAAGTAAATCCAACTAGCCTACTGTGTGGATGTGACTCACAACAAGTAATATTTGGATGGCAAATGGCTTCTTTAGTCCATACAAAGTCCTGGTTATTTGTAGACCGTAACTGCAAGCCGTCCAGCCCCATGCAGAGATACAACTCTATCTAATTCAACTGTGTATGTGCTATCCTAGTGCCAAACAGCTGACAAAACAGACCACAAATCTAAACATTTCCTGTGCTGTGGACACAGATCAACGGGATCTCACAGAACAGCAGACTATTACAGGAGAACAGTGCAGAAGTGCGGTTTCAACAACTAATCAACTAGATGCATAACTGCAACTGAATCTAAATAGCCTAATGGCATGCACTTCTAACTGACACAAACATGTTAATTAGATCACTTCCTTTGTGCGTCAAGGTGGTGCGTCTTCATTCAAAATGACAATTTTAATACATCATACTTTGATTAGTGACAATGGTTAGCTAGGATATGAAAAGGCAAGACAAAGTTTCCACAATGACATGGGCAGGCAATATAGAAAACATCCTACTAATGACTGAAACCACCTTGTTTGACTTGTAAAACAAGAGTCTACTCTTACAAAGTGTGGAATAAAAAGAGAATATGGCTTTAAGTAGTTATAGCGTGTCCCTGTCAAGTGATTCCCTGCCAGTAAACTCAGAAACCAACAGACACAGTAAATTTAAATGAAAGCATTGTTCGTGCACACTCTTGTATCCCTCTAGGGACCTATAGTTACATCTGCTCCCACTCTCCAATGTGGGGAAGTCAGACCCACTTGTAGCCCATTTTACATCGATAATTAACAAATCGGTCATGATCATCCTCAGACAAAATGGCTTCCTCCACAATTATCTTTTAAAAAAATGTAACAAAAAGATGAAACACAGCTGTTAGTTTTAGCCAAACAAGGTTTCCAGGTTCCACCACAAAAACACTCCAAATACTTAGGGGCTGGTTTCCAAAAAACAAAAAAATCACTGTAGGGAATCTTTAGTTAAAGTCCAATTTCTACTTGACTCTGCTGTTTTTTTTCCTGGTGGCAAACCAACAACTATATCCCACACAGAAATACACACGATTGTGAGCTTAAACAATAACACTACCAGCATAGCCTGGTCAAACGTCACAATCCTATTATCTATACTTTGGAGTATACAAGTCCCAATATATAGTTCCAACTACAACACTACAAGAGTTTACAAGGCTAAAACAACCTCAACAGTCAATCTTTTTTTGAGAGAGCGGAATTGGAATAGAGACGATACAGCCTTTGAGAACTGCAGTTGCCTTGCTACATGGTATACATGTCTGGATAGTAAGATAAATAAGAGGAAAAAAGAAAGACTTTCTTAGTAAATGTAAAATGTAGCAAAGCCTAAACAATATAAGCACGAGGCTAACCCACCTTAAGAGACTTCCTTCCATCCACAGAATCAAACACCTGATTAGGTTTGCTGAAAATACGTAAGATTAATAAAAGTATTTGTTTTAATTTTCAAAAAATATGAATGAAGGGGGTTATAATATAGATATACATATGCTGCAAAAACGTAACCACGGGCAAAGAAAAAGAAACATGGATTTCTTGCCATAATCAAATGATGCTTCGTTGCCACCCGTTGCCATGTCAACGTCTAGGAGACGGCCAGCATGGCAACGGAAACTATCATCATAAAATGGTACAGTAGTAGAAATAGCTAGACCAGGAGGGGGCAGGCTCTCCTGGGAAAAGGTCCGCGGAGAGGTCCAATGATTGGTCATGCGGCTCGCTGTCAGGAATAATGGTTGTAGGGTGGTAGAGGGTGCCCAATGCCATTCTGGTAGTGATGGTGCTGGCGGTGAGCGATGTACTCTGCATAACCCATTGTCATCTTCTCGCTACGGTACCTTAGAAGGAAAAAAGATGTTTTGGTAAAGGCTAGCGGATCCTCAGGTCATGTTAGGAAAGTTATGATCAGAGGGTGGTATGCTGTACAGACTGTAAAATCCCTTAAAGCAAATTATGGTTTGTGATATTGGGCTATATAAACAAAATTGACATGACCAGCCACAGTCTGCACCGAAACACAAGACGGCATCTACTGTGACCGTGTACAATCTGTTGAACACAGATGAATCAATTTCTAGACTTCTCAGAAATCTACTATTGAACAACAAATCTCAGTCAGAACAACAAATATTTATAATTTTTTCTTGGAAAAGTACTCCATTGATTTAGCACTGCACATTGTCACACAAAGGACAGACACAAAAAATATGGTCTATTGTATTCCATGCATTCTTCTTTCAGGTCAAAAATGGGGTCCTACATTACCACCAATTAAGGCTGTGCGATATGGCAAAAATTCATATCCCGATATAGGTCATTTCATATCATAACAACAATATATATCTATGTATGTATGTCTGTATGGGGCTGATTGTTCTCATGTTGTGTATATATGATGCTTTGGCAATGTTGTTATTACATTCATGCCAATAAAGCTAATTTGAATTGAATTATATCCAGATAAACTGCTGGATAGTGTTGTGTGGCTCGTCCATTATATTTAATGCAATTTCTTCTCCGCAGCACCGGCATGTGAACAGACCGTGGTGAAGTTAGTTTCAAGTTGGATATTTGTTTTATGTTGTATGGTAGATGTCAAATTCCAACGTAAAGCTAACATCACCGGTCCTTCACCAAAATATTATGGCAAAGTGTGGAATTTGCGACACAATGATAAGCGATAGAGCATAATTGTATACGAACATTTTTCTATCGTCAAACGATAGATATCGTCATATCGCACAGCCCTACCAAGAATGCAACTTGGCCGCCAACAGTTCACTTGGAGATGTGGATCAGTTATGCTTCTAGCAGCTGATGTAGCCGCTAGCCTCAGCAGAGATGAGGGGTGGGCTTCAGAGGTCTGGTAAGTTCACTTCTTTCTAACTCCACGCCTCCAGATTTTTTTCAGTTTCAAACTTGTAGTCTTCATCCCCAGCAGACGCTGACTCAAGTGACATCACTTGAGGAAATTCCTCAGATTTCTTTATACAACTCTTTTTTCACATATCCTGTTGCACTCTTCAAGACCTGTAAACTTAAAATTGTTGGGAGTTCTCCTTTGAATAACTTGAGTGGCAGAGGATATACTGTATCTCAAAAGGAGGACAACCCTGATCTAGATCCCATATCTGAATTGGTGTAAGCTTTATACTCTAAAAAAGAAAAAAAGGTTGAGCTCTGCTAATTCTGCTTGGCTGGCAAAACTCTAACATAGTAATGTACATTAACTGGAGACTTTGGACCCATCTGGTAACATGTAAGTATTTTGTCTTATGTTTGGGCATGGATCCAAATGAAAGTATGTGGCAAACAAAGAGTACATCAGTGACATATTCATATATCAGCATGTCTGTAGGTAATTTAATACAGTAAGTGTAATCTCACCTGGTTAACTTAATGGTCTTCCTGAAGTCATTTGTGATGGGAGCTTTGTAACCTCCCTTTCGTAGTAAGGAATCTATGGTTTGAATGTGGTCCCAACCTTAATAAAATGAGAGTTAATTCTCTTTACACATTCCTGAATATCCACATCTAGCAACATCTAGTGAAAAGCTGGACTGTTAGAGGAACTAAAAAAAATAATAATAATAATCTCACCTTGCTCCTTTGCAACCTCCGGTAGGTAGGTGGCGGTGCGCTTTGATCCTTTTTCATTGAAAAACTCTATCCTAATACCGTGAACACCCACCTGGAATTCAAAACAGGCACGACAAAGAGAAAGTGTAATTTTCACCCCATATATTTCTCTATCCACCAAACTTAAAGTTGTAAAAAGAACAAGCTGTTCAATATGAAGAAATGTTGAAATGTTTTTGCACTTGTTCAAACAGGTTACAGCGTGGGAAGGACTTCAATCTCCATCATAGTTTTAGTCTTGTTAGAAGTAATTAACAACCCCAAAAACAGAGCAGGAGCTGGTGTGTATTAATAGCAGAACGAGGGAGACACCTATAAATGAGCATTTAAGCTGTGACGTACCACTATTCTCAGTGCAAATGTTTTAGCAAACCATTGCTGTGTCTCAGTTCACGCTTCCATACTTGCTACAGGTGCTGGTCATATTATTAGAATATCATCAAAAAGTTGATTTATTTCAGTAATTCCATTCAAAAAGTGAAACTTGGATATTATATTCATTCATTACACACAGACTGATATATTTCAAATGTTTATTTCATTTAATTGTGATGATTAAAACTGACAACTAATGAAAATCCCAAATTCAGTATCTCCAAAATTAGAATATTACTTACAATACCAATACAAAAAAAAAAGGATTTTTAGAAATGTTGGCCAACTGAAAAGTATGAACATGAAAAGTATGAGCATGCGGCGTGGCATGGAGTCGATCAGTCTGTGGCACTGCTCAGGTGTTATGAGAGCCCAGGTTGCTCTGATGCGTATTGCATCTTCCTCTTCACAATAGCCCATAGATTTTCTATAGGGTTATGGTCAGGCGAGTTTGCAGGCCAATTAAGAACAGGGATACCATGGTCCTTAAACCAGGTACTGGTAGCTTTGGCACTGTGTGCAGGTGCCAAGTCCTGTTGGAAAATGAAATCTGCATCTCCATAAAGTTGGTCAGCAGCAGGAAGCATGAAGTGCTCTAAAACTTCCTGGTAGACGGCTGCGTTGACCTTGGACCTCAGAAAACACAGTGGACCAACACCAGCAGATGACATGGCAAACCATCACTGACTGTGGAAGCTTTACACTGGACTTCAAGCAACGTGGATTCTGTTCCTCTCCTCTCTTCCTCCAGACTCTGGGACCTTGATTTCCAAAGGAAATGCAAAATTTACTTTCATCAGAGAACATAACTTTGGACCACTCAGCAGCAGTCCAGTCCTTTTTGTCTTTAGCCCAGGCGAGACGCTTCTGACGCTGTGTCTTGTTCAAGAGTGGCTTGACACAAGGAATGCGACAGCTGAAACCCATGTCTTGCATACGTCTGTGCGTGGTGGTTCTTGAAGCACTGACTCCAGCTGCAGTCCACTCTTTGTGAATCTCCCCCACATTTTTGAATGGGTTTTGTTTCACAATCCTCTCCAGGGTGCGGTTATCCCTATTGCTTGTACACTTTTTTCAACCACATCTTTTCCTTCCCTTCGCCTCTCTATTAATGTGCTTGGACACAGAGCTCTGTGAACAGCCAGCCTCTTTAGCAATGACCTTTTGTGTCTTGCCCTCCTTGTGCAAGGTGTCAATGGTCGTCTTTTGGACAGCTGTCAAGTCAGCAGTCTTCCCCATGATTGTGTAGCCTATAGAACTAGACTGAGAGACCATTTAAAGGCCTTTGCAGGTGTTTTGAGTTAATTAGCCTATTAGAGTGTGGCACCAGGTGTCTTCAATATTGAACCTTTTCACAATATTCTAATTTTCTGAGATACTGATTTTGGGGTTTTCATTAGTTGTCAGTTATAATCATCAAAATTAAAAGGAACGAACACTTGAAATATATCAGTCTGTGTGGAATGAATGTATACATTATACAAGTTACAGTTTTTGAATGGAATTACTGAAATAAATCAACTTTTTGATGATATTCTAATTATATGACCAGCACCTGTATTTTGAGTGCGTAAGTGCGTTCATTCGTAACTGTCAAAAGGTTCAGAGTATAATGCTGGACAATTCTTACACTCAACAGTCGCCATCTTGGCAACATAGTGGAAAGAGGAGGGACCACCAACCTATTTTCAAACTTGTGAACGTGGTGCCCGAAGAAGCTGCAGCAGTTGCAATTGCACACACACACACACACACACACACAAGTAAAAGTATGCAAATTTTTATCAACTTTTAATAACATTGAAGTCAAGTGAGCAAACAAGCCGCCAGATATTTTGGCAGGTGAAAGTCACGGTCAACTGTTGGCGATAATGACCCCCTTGGTTACAATTCGCCATTAAAAGGAAAAAGAAGCGGTCAAATGTTATAACGGCTGTGTTTGATGTGAGATACCACTATCCAGTCGAAATTTACACACTATGCAAGTAAGTACTTGGTGTACACAGTGTACTACATACAAGTGTACTAACGTAAGTATCCAAAGTAAGACAGCGCATGTCTCTTACCTCCCAGTCAAGGTAATCACCGACGTCTTCAAAGTTGGTGAGAAGAGACACTGAGCAGAAGAGGCGAGGCAGCTCATCCCTTGTCATAGGGGGGAAGCGGCTGTCTTTAAGGGCACTGCACACATAAAAGCACAAAAGGAAATACCATAAGTCCATCCATCCATCCATGCATCGTCAACTGCTTATCCTGCACAGGGTCGCGGGGGGCTGGAGCCAATCCCAGCTGTCCCATTACTAGAAGTGATTCTGAAAATAATTATCACAGTCAAGTGATGAAGGGTCAGCAGTGCCTTTAATGTAGATGACCTATGGACATACAGAGGCCAGTGTGGTCGCAGCACAGTTTTTACTACTAATACCACTAAGAAGCTGTATGTGTTTAACAGGTAATCCACAGCTCTGCTGTGTCTCTGCCCTCAGGTCAAGAAACACTAGTGAAGAAATTCCAGGTATTTACAGAGGCCCCTGTTTACTTTGAAAAACTCTGTCTTTTCATGCATCGATTTTTTAAAAACAAGTGACATGCAAAATAAAAGTTCCAATTTCAGTTCTCCACATACACCAGCCCTTGGGGTCTCGCTCATGTGTTAGACAGGTCATGTAATGTGTTACATGACAATTACATATCAGTAACATAAACACTGAATTCAGATTTCTAATTGTTAACACTTGTCCACCAAAGCCAAGTAGTGCCCAACCAGTGTTTAACCCACCAGCTCAATAATTCATTCAGATCAACCACCAAACATGGGGGTAAACCCACATCACTGTGTTTATCTGGAAAGGCTAGAAGACTGCCAAATATAACTAAATAAGGACTCTTTATTATCACATTTTACATTTTTGAATATAAACATTTTTTAATGTCTTTAACAGTCCATACATTAGTTATAGTAAAGATAAATACATTTATTTTGTGTCACAGTTTTTTTTTTTTTTTTTACCATTTACTACAGTGTCATTATTTTTCCACAATCATGCTCTGCAACAGCATTTGGTCTACATCTTTGCAACACAGAAAATAACTTGTTGCTTGTTGCTTACCTGGTAAGGGTGTATTCCCTGAGTCCTGAGTGCAGATTCATGGCAGAAAATGTACCTATACAACCCCTCAACCGCTTGTCTCTGCCTATTTTCCATGTGACAAACAGCGGGCTGAAAAACAAGAAAGAACAAGAGACCTATTTTCCATGTGACAAACAGCGGGCTGAAAAACAAGAAAGGACAAGAGACCAAGTTAAAGCAGTTGAACTCTAATGATGTGCACACCAGATGTACATTTCTGTATAAATGCTGGTTGGCGGCACACCTCAGTTAATTCTGCTTTAGTATTCCACAGTTGTTATTCACGTTAAGTAAAATTGTCAGTACTGTCTACACCATGATGGATCAGTTTTCATCCAAGACGGCAGGCACATGGCCCAGTGCTATGAACGAAAGTTCATAGTACTGGGCCATGAACGGATAACCTCATCTTTTTTTGAAACAAATTCATAAAAGGCATTTTCCATCTTTTTTTGTGGTGGAACTGCTTCTTGTTATCTTGTAAATTAGGGAAAGACTAATTGATCGCATGAAGAATTTCTTGCATGATCAAATCATAAACAAAATGTGGTAATGACAATGACTCACCCAATTAAATACTGCATAATAGGACTCAACACAAGCTTCAGTAATGATTGTAGCAGTACAAAAGTTATCTCATTTGGATTTAAATAAGTAATGTTCATTGAATCAAGGACTTCGGAGAATACTCAAATGTTGTAACATTACTGCATGACATCGCAGTGGAACAGAACTAAAATTGTGCAAAACAAGTCATGATTTCCACGTACCAAGATCGTTTCTACACTGGACACCTTTCAGTCTTTTTTTCCTGCATGTATGTTGGAACAAATACACTTCAGTATTAATTCAATATAGCAGCCTACACTGGCCACATAACGACTTGTGCTTGAATTAAGCTATACGGCAGCCAACAGTGGTACTGATTTGATGGAAGATCTCATTTAAATCCAATTTATTGTCAGTTACCCATCAAAAGGTATTGTTCTCACATGCCAAGACACATATAGCAGGGCTATATTTACCTTAATGAGCACCAGTCCAATTTTAAGAGCACATATTAAATATTCAATTCATGGAGCATTTGTTTTCTCTAGTTGGAGCTCTCTCAGTTTACTCAAAAAACTGAATGTGTGTAAATTAAGCTGTGTAAAGAGAAAGGAGGAAGGAGAAAAATGAGCTCTATGTTTCCCCTGTGAAGAAATTTTCAATACCAGAACCAATACTGGTACTTCAACTTTAACACTGGTTTGTACAAAATATTTTTTTGTTTAATGGAGAAGGTCTTCAGCTAGAATTCCTTTACTATTTGAAGTTAAAAGTCCCAAAATTTTAGAAAAAGAAACATGAGACAGTTACTCTTTGAACAAATCTTAAATTTTATTTTTAGCTTCTTCACATATTAAACAGCTGGAGCAAAACCAAAATTCAAAGTTCAGATTTAATGAAGTACCAGTAATTAAAAACAAAAAAATTACAAAGGAACAAAACATTACAGCTACGGCAATCTGATGAAAAACAAAATGGTGTCTAATGGCCACTACTGTAGATGTTTTACAGACCCAGCAGTTCCTCAGAAAACCACAGCACGGTAACTGTCCTTTGGCTTCATTTTACCTTTCCTGGATCACCCCCCCCCCATTCTCTGCCAGTGAGGAAAGGCTGGTGTCTTCTGGTGTTGTCCTTAAATGAGGGAACAACATGGGCAAAGGTTGATGAAGAAAAGAAAAAATTCCTAGTGTTCACCATTTGGTAGCACAATGGGTAAGATGTATTAACAAGATAACATATTTGCTAGCTAGTTATGACTATTGAATTGTACTCCGACAAAACTGACATTTCAGTTGTTGCTTTAGCTTAGTATATCTAAAACATTCAAGTAGCTTATACTACCTTCACTATCAAACATTACACAGATTTCAATGAATATTACCCGACCAATTAAAGTGACCGTATCACGTTATACAACCATTACATTCAACTAACGTTACCTAGCTAAATTATCTGACTAGTTATGCTAACGTACCTGCAGCAGCGCTCGCTGGTCTGAGTGGTCCAGTCAGTCAGTGTTGGTGGTCAATGAAGCAGATACCTTTGTGCACCGCTCTCAGCATGTGACCCTCCATTTGGAGGAGAAGACTTGCTGTTTTTACTAAATGCTGACAACATGTAAGCTGGACAGTCGGACAATAAAAACACACACTGTCTCAAGGTTACGACATTATGACTTCTGAAAAACATAAAAGGGCACATTCGCAATAAGCATGGGTTCCTATTTCTTTAATTTTTGTACCACTGGCTTTAAAAAAAATGATCACAAGATGTTCACAATCTGGGACCCTGCATTGTTTACTGGCTAACTCTGCAGACCACTGTGTCTATGTCAAATACTGTAGTTGTTTGGAGCATTTCAATAATTCAATCTGACAACGCCCCCAAGTGAAGGACATAGCGAGGACACCACAGACAGAGTTTCTCATACCTGCGGGATTCACATCGGTGGCAATTAGCCTACCACATTCCTAATCATGATTGAATGGTTGGGTTCAGACCTTGGTTTCATATGGTTAAGTTAAGATCCCAGTGTTTACCGTTTATGGCTGACAGACAGCTTGAGTGCTCATCTTAATGAAAGGAGGTTGGGAAGTTTAAATATTGAAAGCTCAAATCAGTCAACTTTTACTATATTATTCAAAAGGTCCACAACAAGCACTCAGTTTTATTAAACTAGGCTACATATGAAAGGCTCACACTTTACTTGTAACAAAAACTAGTGACATGGGATTTTATAAAACCTGTCCCTTTTCCAAATTAGGAATTTTAAGACCTCACAACCTCTCACAATGAGACACTTCTCTTGATTACATCAGTTAATATTTATGAAGGTTTAATGCCAAGCATGGACATTGGGACGGAGCATTTTTATATTAACACAATGACACCATACGCCAGATGATTTTGTTTTGTCAATGGCAACACTAATCTGGCTTGCCAGGCTAGTTTGAGGCAACCCTGGGAGAATACTCTCAGAAAGGACTGAGAAAATGTTCTGTGGTGGCTCACATATTTGTGCATATTGAGTGCAAATTTATAGACCTTGTATGGAATCACAAACATCTGAAATTAATTGTGAGTGAGAGAGTTGACACATGTATTTGGTTAGTCTAGGTAACACCAAATGCATGATACAGTGAGCTGTCCCCACACTGTCAGGGAAATGCCAATTCATTGTTCAGTGTTTGCCACACCACTGTGAGTTCTGATTGGTTCTCATATTTGAATGTGTTAAGTATTTTGCTTGGAGTCTGCTGTGGTGATTTTGTGATTTTAGTGTGATACAGTTTGTGAATAAACTTGTACAATTAAAGGCTCCAACATGATGCTGAAGGTCAACATGTCAAAAGCAATATTTCAACAGATTCATTATTCGGGAGAGTTTCAACTATAAATGCATAAAAACCTATTGATGTGAATGAGCAGAGTAAGAAGATAAAGGCTATGTGTGTACTGTATACATATACAATGTGTAGGAGGGATTGTTTCCCATAACAGATCATGGTTACCAGCAATATGAACTGTTGATGTAAACACACATACACCATGGTGTAACTGGTCAGCAGAGAAATACATTTAAAACCAATACTGCAATTCCTTTGACTATTTCTTTTTTTTTTTTACTATTTTAAATGCGTGTGTTCCTCATCAATAGTGCACTCCAAAGTTTCTTCACAAATTCCCGGCCGGTACAATGGAATAAGTCAACTATTGCTTCAATTGTAAACAATCCCTGTATAGCCTAGAAATGTAAGTAAAACGCCCGCACTTGCTATCATATTACAAAGCTTGTATAAGGTGGGGTCAAAATGTTTCAGTGGAGGGCGCAGGAGTGCGGTTACAGGCACAAAATAAAAATAAAATTTGTCAATCTTATAGTTAATACGGTCATAACACAAAAAGTGACGTTTTCCGTGAATGCTTCAAATGGTTAAACAATGTGTGTTCGTTAGTTCCATGTGTTTAACACAGACAGCGCTATTTTAGTTACATTCGGCCATAAAGAATGCTTAGGACTGCTTAGTACTTAGCTAGAACCACATTTTCTTTGTTGGTTGATGCTAAACTTAGCTAAACCCTTAGTTCGATAGTATCGTTACACTTAACCAAACAAAACCTGCTGTAAAACGAGCGAGTAATGTGACCGATTTTCTGCCCGTGACGCCGTGTAGACTTTTTAATACATTTACCATTAAGGTAATGACTTCAAGCTCATTAGTGCTTCGTTGCTACGCTAATGTAGCTTATAGCTAACAAAGCTAAGCGTAGTATGTGGTAATCCAGAGTTCATTGAGGGCAATTTCATTAAAAGTACCAACGTTTCACGTTTTGTATTTAAGCCGTTCATACAGTACATCCTTGCTTGCAGAACTGCTGCGTTAAACCTAAAAACGACGCTTAACGTTATAAGTGTTAGTGGCTTGCTAATATTAGCTAGTAGCATACAGGCTTATAGCTAACGCTAGCCACTGTTATTCGAGTTGGTCAGACAGTAACGTTAACGAAAAAATGTTTCTTTCGGCGAGCAGCGACGGGGAATCTAAAAATACTAAGAGTAACTTTCCATCATTCAGTAATAGGTAACATAAGTTAGCTTGATAACATCACACCAAATCATTCATTGTAACGTTAGTGTTAGATTAGTGTAGTTGCAGGCCACTGCAGATAGTCTCATCGACAAGGCCCAAATTTCATCTTGCCCAAATTAAGCTGTGATCGCGAGCTTTTCGCGTTAAATTAAAATAGGGTTTCGATGTGACAGTTTGTGCCCTTAACACTGAAGCAGAATCCAGAGGTAAACCCATTAAGTGTGCCCCAACAGACATTTGGTGAGAGTGTCTACCAATGAGCTTTGACATGCAGCAAAACAACAAAAGACAAAAATACTCACTAGGGATCATTTGTAAACCTGGGTGTTCTCGGAGGTTGGTATCCGTACAGATGGCAATAAAGCACGTCAAAACAGAAGCAGCACATCTCCGCTGAGACGACCATTTTTCTGCCTCCACTTCCCGAACCAGGTCCCGAGCTGAGATTCGGGGAGAGGCCGGATGAAGTGTAACCGGCCGGGGCTGGGGACAGAGCGTTTGTGCCGCTGCTACCACTACTACTACTGCTGCCGCTAACGTTACCCCCGGGTCCCCCCAGGCCGTTGGCTCTGCTAACGTTCGCCGCTGCTGCAACGGTCGCGGAGGAGCCAATCCCCAACTCCGAGCCACAATGTCCGGTTCCTGCCATCCCGCTTCCCGCCCCCACCCCGCCGGGACCCCCCGACCCGGGCGATCCCGACAGTTTCTGCTTCTTCACCCCGCAGCACCCGGCCGCCATCTTGGAACAATCTGCACCGACACACCGCTTCCGACCCATAACCGTCACCGCGGGAAGGGTGGGGGGGAACGCCGACCAGACGTAGAAATCCCACTGCGTTGATACGTATGACGGACAATACTCCACTTTCACTCTTTTATTTTTTTGTCGGACGACGAAATAACCGATGTGGTGAGAAGACTGCAATGTCACCCTAGCGCTGCCTTTAAAAATGCGTGACTTCGCTACGCAAATTCCATAGCTGGATAAGCGTTTTTTCCATGAGTAATTATTTAGCCAGTCCAGCTTTGGACCACGGTGTTCTAGTGGATCACCGGTAACGTCAAGTTCCAGACAAATATTCACCTAACACGACACCATCCGATGTGATCTCAGTCAGTTCCCTGTAAACATACAAGTTCAGGGAGTGCACAGTCCGAACAGGCCGCAGATGACAGTAGCCAAGCGGTCCAGATGTGAAGCCGACAGCCAGTGCACTGTAGCCCCGCAGCACACCTCTCCAAGTGGAAGCCGGGAGCTTGAGTACGCAGGACCCATACGCTTCAGCACAAATTGCGCACCATGTCTTGGACAGCGTAGCTTCTCATTGCACCAGCTTGTTTGCTACAGCCTCACGAACTTCTAATTACACAACAGGCCCAGTTATGTTGGAATTCCAGACGCTGGGATAACGCAGAGTAAAATGGCATCTGACAATGCAGGGTTGGCATGGCACAATGCAACGCGTCAGCGCCGAGCAAGTCATTTCAGGAACGTTAGCCCACAGTTTGCACCTGCATGATGTCTGTTGTTGGACCTGGGTTTAAAAAAAATCTCAATAACACCCCCGCGTCAAATGTAGAGCTGAAAGTTTTCAGTATACGTTTGTTTGGAGGTTGTCATCCGTTTATGGGGATACACATAGAAGAGCATTCTAGTCCGTGAGCCGTGAGAAATCCTCCGGGTTTGGCAACCCTCGCTCCGCACCCGTCTCTCAGCTGCTACCATTCAGTGCTGTTCGGGTAAAAGCCCTGTGATCAGTCTGTGGGCACAGGCATCGGTGTCGTCGGCACTCCGGAACCGGATTCAGAAAACGTGTTGCGCCCACTTGCTACACATTATGCGTAACTTCTGTGGGGTATGTACGGTGCTGTGGAAGCTTGCGCGCTCACGGCGTTCATAACCGTGTATGCGTACGTGCATGAAAAAGTAACGGTATCCCTAAGCTATAAAAGGCATGTGACTAGAGTGGTCTGTCCTTTAGATTATCTTATGAGTGCTGTTAAGAGGCTTGATTTACCAGTGTCTTTGTATTTCAGTGAGGTGATTTATCCTCTTCTATATGTCTCAAGGGGTCAATATACAGGTTACACGGAGTACTTTTAAATTGTAACTGTTAAAGTCAATTGTCATTTTGGATTTACTGCAAATGGCCTTTATGTTGTAGCCTACACATCAAATGCTCATCTGGGACCCTTAATCAGGAAAATACATATAAATAATGATAATAAGTGTAATTCTGTTATAAATGTCTCCTGTCTGGTTCTGGGCCCCCTGAATCATTATCCAACTCCACCCCCATTCAGCCCCTGACCTATTAAGTGAGAAATACATTTTGGCCTATCAGTAAAGAGAACAAAGACCAGTGTCTAAATGTCAGTGATGAATACACATTGTTGGATCAGCTGATGATGACCATACCCTGAGTCATAATGCTGGGCGGAGTGTGCTTGAAAATGAAAACACCGTAGGCCTGACAGAGTGAAACATCGCCTGGGTGGTGACATGGGGGCAGGAGATCTTGATCTCTGGAAGCTAAATAAAACATAAACTAGCTTTTCTTTAGGTTCACAATACTTATTTGATCGGCTACATATCTTGAAGCAGTATGTGTAAGGCTGACTACTGGAGTCAGTCTAGTGTCTTTTTAAAATAACAGATTACGCTACACAATCATCCAATTTCAAACCTCTAAGAGTAAACCATCTCAGAGGAAGGAGCTCCCTGTTGCTCAGCATTTAAAGCCTGGCTGACAGAAGACAACAGGGAGAATATGTTAGTTTAGAGTAGCCTAATATCCTCAGTGCTATTGGCTTTATGTGTGGTGACTCTCATGACAGGGCTAGTGGTAATAAACATCTGCAATATTGCAGTGCCAAAAATTGCTTGTGCTTAGAGTACATTAAACATATAGGTTAATGTGCATTCAGCGTCCATTTGCTTTGTCTTTACCCCCATTTGCTGTCAGGTACTGACATTTGAGTTTATCATCTGGGCCAGAACTGTAAGCAGTAACCCACAGACACCCTCCCATAAAGTGCTCCATGACCGACTCAGCATAAGGCTTCAAGTCTGTTTTAAAACTAATTTAAACTAATTACTGTTGGCTCTTGTGGATATTGACTGAGCATTTGCCAGGTAACAGGCCTCTTTGGGGAGACTAAAGTACATATTTGGCTGAAATACTTTTAAGCAAGATCTTGAGTGTAACCATCAGTCTCCTGAATGAATGACTTCCCTCTGCCATATTTTCTGTTTAACACTCTTGGAAAATTCATCTAGAAACACGTAGGTCCAACAGAAACTGATGTGGTAACCTTACTTGTTCTATGACTATTTTTGGTTTTGAGGCAGGTGTTCATCATAACATTTCTAAAGAAATGACAAATGCAAATGACAGCAAAGCCCTTGAAAATCATCGCATGCTACGTCACTCCCATTTTCCTGCCCAGCAATATTCATGTAAATGTTGTAGCCTTGAGGTCAACACTCAAATGACTTTCCTTATCTGGGAAGGTTATTTTGAGATTATTTCAACTGTTAAAAAAAGAACATTGTTTCACTGCGTAGACTCAAATAGTGCCTGTAAAATATCCCATCCATTTATTTTACGAGAGCAGAAACTGCCAAGGCTGAATGTCATAAAGTCCTTCTACTTTCGAATATAAGTCAACAAACAGTAATGTGCGAAACGTCCTCAGTCGTGGTAGTATGATTAGATGCGATGGCTTTGTTGTTACATTCAGCACTGTAAAGTCATGAGGTCTATGGATTAATCGGCTGTGATGGAGTTGGAGATGGAGTGATAAGCAGCAAAATACCCAAATTCTCACTAATTAACGGATACTCTCAGCAGACTTAATTATTATTTTAGCTACTCAGATTGCAATTCTTTAGATCATATATTACATTTTCCACAGTTAAAAGGAAACGCCATTATAGAACGTGTAGCTTAGTAGAGGATGAAGCTGGTACGTACACATGGCTTAGTGCAGCTAAGCAGAAAGTGTATGCTCTTCAAAACCCCATTTGTGCAACCATTGGATTTTAGGCATGGGTGATGTCACTGCAATGCAATCCACCCCATGCAGATTATCTTTTGAAACTACAACAGGAAAGGGGGAGGCAGGCCGAATTTCCTCCCATTCCAGCTACAATTTAAGAGTGGCACTGCTGTTCAAGGTCAAAGTGGCTTTGAGCAAGCAAAATAGGCTGAGCTGGGTGCTATTGTTGGCATTGTAATCTTCCTATTTAAGAAAAATCCACACATGCACAATCACCATTTAGTGAATGTACTGTATATGCTGAGCATAGACTGGTTTGTTCCATTCATTACCTGTCGGTTTTATTCTTGGGTGCAGAGACAATCTGGCATGTTGTTATTAGGCCTTGTGCTGGAATTTCCTGCAGCGGCAGGACTGAGATACTACGTGGACAATAGCTGACTAATTCAAGTAAACTGTAAAGTTCTGAAACTTGCTGTGAAAAGTGCTTCAAAAAGTCAGAATATACGAAACAACATTAGATGTATACCCATGGCTAAATAAAAATCTATTTGAATGGGACTAAAAGGAACACAAGTGATGTTTTTACTTCTCTGTGGTAAAATGACTATAGTATCAGCATGGGTTTGATCAATATCAATGACCCAATGATTACTTCTCCAGGCCCCTGCTGAGATTTCTGGATATCAAAACAATAACTTACTGGTGGCCAATCTCTCCACCCACTGGAGTTTAAGACACTCTGAATCCCCCCTATTGTGTACCATTATCTTCATGGTTTCAACTGCTCTGTGATGGATGATAAATCATCAATATGATGGTTATACAACCAGCATCAGAAGACATTTTACCACAACATTTTGCAACTTGATGTAGGACATGTCTGTTAAATACCTGTTTAGTGGACATGCTCCCATGGCTAATTCATTGATACAGCGAAAATGTGACTTCATTGTTTGTACGTGGGGTCAACAGCATCTGTCACAGGAGGGGTGGATGCTGTGCCAGTGTTGGTGAGCATAAGCTCTATCAATGGTGTTGCAGTCCCCAGTGGTGACAAGGTTGATAAAGGTCACGGATTGCATGGGGCCAACTTACAATGTTGCTCTGAGAGCTCTCCTGTACATTTACTAAATCCTCTGGTGTATTGGTAGTACAAAATTTGAATGCAGGGGAACCATTTTGGTGACATGTATGTACAGTAATGTGAAAATCATCTTTTGGAGGAATTTCTGAAAATATTAATGCAGCTTATCACACACACAAATGCAGCACGAGTCCATGCTCTCACTTCTGGCACTGTATTGCCTACTTAGCTCTCTCTTCCTCACAGAAACCTTGTCATCATTTTATCTGGAGTCAGCTGTTTTCCTCTCTGGCTCCCAGTGTAATGACCTTTCTCTTCCAGCCAGAACAGAAGAGTCACTCCGCTTTTTCCATGTAGGCTGCTCACTCTCCTCTCTTTGCCTCACACCCTTGTTTTGTAATATTCCTCATGGAGGAATTTGCAGGATATTTTCTAACTGGCCTCATTGCCATAAGGGGGATGAACTCTGTCAGGTTTCAACAGAGATTCACCTCCTGCTTTCAAGCTGACATAACATTTTGGTAAGTAGGTGAACCCTGAATGTGGGTCTTTTGGAAACAAAAAAATCAACACGCAAATGTATTGCATTATTCATTTGATTAACACCAGAGTAGACTGAAATGTGATCACTCTCACAGCCATGCAAAGCAATGCCATTCGGTTCATGAAAGAAACATTAATACACCATGAGATATGTACCCAGCTTATTTTTATTAGACAAGCATTTGAATGCAGGCTCATTTACAGACCAGATCAGTTGTGTCAACAACAGAATTAATGGGACCCCTTTCAGTTTTTGAATCTCAAAGTTTTGATGATCACTGTGAATAGGACGCACGTTAATTCGCTGAGATGAGGGAGGGAAATAATTAGATAACTAAATTGGGAGCTGCATTTGTGTTTCATGTGTGTAGATAAAAAATGGCTATGGTGAAAGCATGTATTATTATTATTATATCGTTTTTATTTTGTTGACATTGCACAAACACTTTTGTCCTGTAGAGGTCAGTGGCGCTGCAGAGTTGCGTTGACTCTGCCATAAAATTATAAGTAGAAGAAGAAGGAGGAGGAGGAGCTGCGTGTTTGAAAGTGGCGGGCAGAAACAACATTGATCTCATGGATAATGTTGGTGTAAGAACTCGGGTAAAGGACAAAAGTTAGCCGAGTTAGCCACAACAAGTAACGTTTTTATTGCAAGTATCCTATGTTAGTGCTGTCTTTTATCAACCAGAACCTGCGAATCCAGTTGTCGTGATATTGAAACGTTGGCACTGGAGGAAACGTGAAAAGGTAACGTTAACGTCAACGTTTTGCTAATAACTGTAACGTTAAGTTAACTTTAGTTAGCTAACGGTAACCCGACGCCAACTTTAACTTAATTATTATCCGTCAGAGCTGAGTTGCAGACGATTCGTTTTCCCACCGGGATTGTTTTCAATCCAATAACGATTGCCCTTAACGTTAGACCGCTAACCATAAAGTTGGTAAGTTAACGTTAGCTTGCTTTGCAGTGCTCAGTTAACGTTACAGCTAACTGTCTCCTGGAGACCGATCGATTACAGTAAGATAGATAATCCAGCCTAAAAGTACATTTCTATAAAAACGATATCTTAGTTTTGATCAGTCTGAACGGACTGTTGTATGTGACGGTATGATGTGATCCTCAGACACACTGTGGAGCTGCTGCCTGGATGGTGAATAATGGACCTCCTCCTTGGACACACATGATGATTGAAATAGAAATGACGGCACTGCTGTGCGATAGTTTTAGTAAACCAACTACAAAGTGTCTGCGTTATGAAATGTGGTGACAGTTATCCACAGTAGTAGACACTTAAGTTGCGCGTCGAGGTAGTTGGAATAGCACATTGTAACTTCTGAGCACCTTTTGAGGGGTGATGAGATATTACACTCAATTGATGTTCAGGTAATGCACATAAACCACACTAATGCACATGACAGCCAACCATTCTGTCATATTGTAGCAAGTTTAGTATTAACCATATATAGTGATGTTGCGGTTTGATTGTCATTATGATTACCTCTTCTTTATCTTTTATTACCAGGTATATATTGAAGTCTTCCAACATGACAAATGATGATAAGGTGATCCCTGTGCGGGTTGCCTTACGATGTCGCCCGTTGGTACCTAAAGAAATCAGCGAGGGATGTCAGTGCTGTCTCACTTTTGTGCCTGGGGAGCCACAGGTCTGTGCTCAACAACAGTTTAGGGAAATATTTATTGTCTGTTATAGTAGTGTTTTGTACCACTACCAGTCCATTATATCCATGTTGGCATGATGTGTTTTTTAAATCTCATATAACTCTACACTACGCAGTATGTGTAAAAATGTAAAAAAAAAAAAATTTGACGTTTATCTATGTTTCCAGGTGATCGTTGGCACAGAGAAAGCGTTCACCTATGATTATGTATTCGATCCCACTGCTGAACAAGAAGAAGTCTTCAATACGGCTGTGTCCTCCTTATTGTGTGGACTTTTCAAAGGTGTCTGTATCTTTTGAAATTATGATTTGTTGAATTCAGTTAACACAATTATTTATTCCGTTCTGTAAGTATGTTTTTACCCTCTCCCTCGGATGTGGCAGTGCAGGTTCTGTAACATTAAGAACTGTTTGGCTTAGAAAACTCCTCAGTGAGTTGCTCCTCATCTGCTGCACATAAATGAAAATCAGATAAGATACATTGGAAAACTCTAATTAAAAAGCTAAGATGTTAAATAATTATAAAATATTTGTTCTCTTTTTGTCTTATCTTTTGAATAATTATACATCCTCATTAAACTGTCCTTTTTTTGTAGGCTACCATGCTACAGTTCTTGCATACGGACAGACAGGGTCAGGAAAGACCTTCTCCATGGGAGGAACATACACATCAGCTCAAGAAAATGATCCTTCAGTCGGAGTTATTCCACGGGTTATTAGAAGGATCTTTGAGGAAAGGGAGAAAAGGACAGACTGTGAATTCTGTCTGACAGTATCTTACCTGGAGGTTGGTGGACATGCACTCTGTAGATTCTTTTTAGAAATGTATTGTGCTCCTTGGCATCCAGCAAGGTTGTTTAATTGCTCAGTAACCTTTTTAAGTATCCAGTTAAACCTTTTTCTTTTTGATTGTAGATCTATAATGAGGATATATTGGACTTGCTGTGTGCATCTAAAGACAAACCTGCCCTCAGCATTCGGGAAGACCCTAAAGATGGCATTAAGGTGGGTGACTGACATATTGTGGCGTATCTTGGAAGCTTAAAGTAGATAGAACGATACACCTCACTAAACTGCATCTGTGTCTAAATCTGTACCTTGGTGAGACCTTTTTTAAATTATGTTTAAATATAAAATGGCATGCCAGCTTGTGTTTTTATTAAAAACATCCTCTTTTCCAGATTGTGGGTTTGACTGAGAGGCAGGTGTTCTCTGCTTATGAGATGGTGGGTTGCCTGGAGCTTGGGAATTCAGCTCGCACTGTGGGTTCCACAGCGATGAACGCCGCTTCTTCACGCTCACATGCTATCTTCACCATCACCCTGGAGCAGCGCAGAGGGACGGACAAGTGAGTGTTGTGGTGTTTTCTCTTATCGTTTTGGCTAAAAGTGGTTGTAATTAGTATAGATTTAGGGTGTTAGAACGCAATTTGTGAGTGTAACGTGCTCAGTCTGATCGCCCTTTTGCTTTTTTTGGTCGTAAATAAAACTTCCAGCCCCGAGTCCATTTCCACCTTGTTTTAGCAGTGATTCCACAGACAGATGGGACACCACAGGGAAGTGAAGGTAGAGAGAGACAGAACTGTAAACAGCAGTTTCTGCGTAGGTTCCCCTGCTGATTTCAAGTGACAACTATGAATGAACTTATTAATAAATGTAAATAAATAATGCTTTGTTTGTGATGATAGTTTAGATTTAACAGCCATCGCTTCTGAATCGTCCATTCTGCTCCAGGCACTGTGGATTTTTAATGCGTTCAGTGAGTTTTTTTTTTTTTACCCCTTCCCACTGCAACAGCAGGCTCTCTGTGTTCCAGGACTTCCCAATTTACAAATTAAGCATAGCATTGATATGCATTTTACTCTATCAACTGGCCACCCAATAAAGACAGGTCTGCGACCCATTTTGGGAAAGACTGGGCTATAGTTATATTATCAGATTTGTATACTGGAACTTTAAAAAAAAGTTATCTAAGCCAACAGGAACACTTGGATGTCTTGTAAAAGGATAAACTACAGTAAATGAGTCGGAACTGTTCTATCAAAAATACGATATGTAAATAATAACACATTTTCAGCTGCTCAGAAAAACATTAGGCCGTTAGAATGGAATGGGGGGAAAGTGGTTGTAGAGACCAAATAATGTTTAGTTGTAACTGATTTTAGTATTTATGCTGCTGTATGAAGATACCATATGATATTGCCCCTGAGCTAGGTTAGGGTGTATGTGCAGGTCCACATTCTGTGGCACACTAAGCAACATTGTGAAAACACTTCTACAAGCTGGATATTTGTGTAATCTTTTGTTGCAGAGTCGACTCAGTTGTTTCAAAATTGCACCTTGTGGATCTGGCTGGTTCAGAAAGGCAAAAGAAAACCAAAGCGGAGGGAGATCGGTTAAAGGAAGGTAAACAGAATGGTTTTTCTTTAGATTTGCTCGGTTAACCGTTGTCAACACTTTAATTTGTGATTCTCACAATGATATTTTTGTAGTGCAACATTTCTGTTTTGTCTTTTTTATGTTATACAAATGTCCTTTGAATAACAGCATTCCTGTTTTGATGCAATTCATTTTCAGGCATCAGCATCAATCGCGGCCTTTTGTCTTTGGGTAATGTGATCAGTGCCTTGGGGGATGAAAGCAAGAAAAACACCTTTGTTCCTTACAGAGACTCCAAGCTGACCCGCCTGCTACAGGGTAAGCTTTGATTTAGATGTCCAGAAGCTACATAATGGTCATCAGGGCAGCCTCAGATGTAACATAGTAAATGACTGCAGAATCATTTTACTATGCACTGTTGAGAACTGTGTTCTGTTTGTTCCATCAGATTCTTTGGGAGGCAATAGCCACACTTTGATGATTGCATGCGTGAGTCCTGCAGACTCAAATATGGAGGAGACCATCAACACACTACGATATGCTGACAGAGCTCGCAAGATTAAAAACAAACCCATAGTCAATGTTGACCCCAGAGCTGCAGAAATGAACCGTTTGAAACAACAGGTACAGAAGGGGGGGGGACCTCACAATCAGATCTTAAAGAGGTGGTATTATGCTCATTTTCAGGTTCAAAATCTTATTTAGGGGTTGTACCAGAACAGGTTTACATGGTTTAATTTTGAAAAAACACCAAATTTTTCTCATACTGCACATTGCTGCAGCTCCTCTTTTCACCCTGTGTGTTGTACGCTCTGCTCTTGAGCTACAGAGTGATGCATCTTACTTGTACAAAATCTTTGTTGGGAGTTGCACATGTGCAGTTCCCAGGTAAGGACTACTAGCTAATCAGAAGCAGAGAAGGGCGGGTCGTAAGAAACAAGGTAGTGTGATCCAAATCAAAGCCGCTTCAGACTGAGACCGTAACCTAGCAGATGGTAGAAGTTATTCACAAGTCCACATCTTACAATCAGGACTAAACTTTGAGCTGTTGCCGGTGTTCTGATGATCTATGCTGCCTTGCCGAAAAATGCTACCATAGCGCAAATTGACAGACTTGACTCTTCTCGGCCCTGCTCCATTTTCCATTGCAGATAGTACCCAGAGATAGTACGTAGCTGGTCGTCATAGCGATGGCACACACCACACAACTGCCGCGACTTAACGTTCAGTGCGACACACACACTAGCGATCCACACAGCTTTCTCTTTTTTAAGTTAAAACGTTTCAACATTCCTCAGAATGTAAAGACAGATAAGCGGTATGAAAACCTTCCAGCTGTGTTTTCCTCTGCCGTTGTTGCTGCAGCGGTCTGTGTGACGGCGGGAGCAGAGGGCTCTGTGAGCGGGCGGCTGGCCGGCCTCACACGCTCCTCCCGCGGGTTGGCACAGGCTTCCCCTGCAGCCACTTGCAGAGCTCCTCAACTCCGAAAATATCCAAGCACATTTTTGTTCCGCTATCACTTCTCGTAAAACTGTCAATATTGGAAATCTTCACAGCTGATTTCTCACCTCAAAACTTCTCAGAAGTAGATTTAGTGATGAAATTCCATACGAAAACTGTAAAATATAAAACTTTCTGTTGCTGGCCTCTGTCTGGTGCAGCAGTGATGATGCAGTGAATAGTGAATATTCTCTCTGACCAATCAGCAGTCTGTCTGTTTTCACGTTACATTTTAGTATCCCTCAGCTGGCTTGGAACCTCGATGAAGGTGAGGTGATACGAAAAAAGTACCTGGAAGCAGGTACAGGTACAACATTTCTACAACGGAAAACCAAACAAAGGCGAGTCGAGCCAAAGGGCCTCCGCTCAGACTAGCTTGGTTTGAGGGTGTGCCTGACCCGGCTAGCTGCTTGGCAAGCTTTATGACGTGTTTTCATTGTGATGTCACAAGTAAAGGAAGTGAAGGGCTGGACTACAAACCAGCTGTTTTCAAGCGGTTCAGAGCAGAGCTTTCTGTGGGAGATGGGAACTCCCTTTGGGCTGGACTTTGGGCTTTTCACTTTGCAAACCTGTTACATGCACAAAAAAAGATATATAACTCAATAAAGGAGAGGGAAAAAAAGCCAAAAAGCATAATACCACCTCTTTAAAATGCCATTGCCTTATCTAAAATGCTAAGTTAAATCCACTTCAGTAACATGTTCGATTCATACACTTGTTTAGGTTCAGGAGCTGCAGGTGATGCTGCTGCATGCCCGTGGAGGAGTAGCTCCGGCGCTCTCTGGGTAAGACAAAATCTCCCAATAAACCGGTGTCCCACCAGGATGTCAGATTAATGCTTCCCAGGGTACAAATAGCCCATAACAAAAGGTCATGGGTCATTCCCTCTGTTACAGGCCAGAGTCAGCGGAGGAGGTGACTAAGCTGTTGGAAAGAAACCGCTCTCTGCAGTTCGAGAACAGTAAACTAAGCAGGGAGCTGAGTGAGGCAGCTGGACAGACTGCCTTCATGTTTGAGAAGATCATAATGGTGAGCCAGACCTTAAAAGCATTTACTAATCCTTCCTCCAAAGTCATTGTTTAAATCTGGTGGGAAAACTGTTACCAGGAGTAATGAAGTGTTAGGTTGTACCCATGGGTAGAAAAAGGCTAAGACCAATATAAAATTTGTATGATAATGAAACATGTAATTGGTTAAAAAAAACCCAACCTGATCTACATGTTAATCACGTGGTGTTTATTTTATAGACAGAACAAGCAAATGAGAAACTACAGAGCAAACTGGAACAACTGCGGCACCATGCAGCGTAAGTTTACAAAGGCGTCAAGCCAGGAGGGCTTCAGGGTGGGTCTGACAAAGCTTAAAGAGGACACAGAATATTTAATCTATTCTTGTTACAAGCTGTGTTTGGTTTTTAGTGGCAGTTTTGTTCATCATTTCAGCTAATTCTTGTAGACCACTGCCACACATACTAAGGCTCACTCTTCACTCTTTATTTACCTGTATTTCAGATGTACAGTGGATCTTGAGAAAGTGTTGGAGACACTGGAGGATCAGGAGTTGAAGGAGAACATTGAGGTGATGAGGAACCTGCAGGACATCATCTTGGAGCTCAAGGTACTCAAGTCATCTTACATTATAATCAACCAAACAGTGTACAGTAGTAGTGCTGAGATTTATACTGGGCATTAGTTGTGACTTTTTAAAGCCATGATTGGATAATTTAAATAAAAGTAATGTGACAAATGTTTTTATCTTTCTTTTTATTTTTTTTTATCAAAACGTTTGTAGTAACAGATGTTATTGTTTACTGTTCTGTTTTTTTATTTTTAAGAATGAGAGCGCAGGCATCGCTGCCTCTATCGACGCTATGGCTGTAGGAGAAGATGGGCATGATCTGTCTGGGAATGGCAGTAAAAATGCAGCAGATGAGTCCCCATCGGTACGTTTACTATTTAGTTAATGTTTACATTAGATGATTGTTAATATCAAAGAAGAAAGAATATCTTTCTCCCCAGCAGTTATTGTTTTTCTGAACCAAGTGTAAATGAAGATGATTCCCCCCTCTTGCACATTAAACAGGATGCCACTGCCATTGGTGGTAAGGAGTCCCCGGAGGCTTTTACTGCCCATCATGCACTGCGGCAGGCTCAACTTTCCAAGGAATTGATTGAGCTGAACAAAGTGTTGAGCCTGAAGGAAGCTTTTGTGAGGAAAATGTGCCAGAATGACACCCAGTTGGAGCCGATGCAATCAGAGCACCAAGTAAGAGGATTTTATATCCATTTATGACAATAATATTAAAATCCTTTAACTTTCAGTTATATTATTTGATTTTGTATAAATTTGTAGATCTTTATCAATTCTAATATGAAAAGGGTAAATCTGTTTTGATTAATTTATTGTGCCATCGTTAACATGAGCGGTGTTGTTAACACTTTTTTGATACTGATGATGGGATAGTGGATGAGATACGCCTTTGGTGTGAGAGACCCCGGGTTTGAATCCACTGTGACACCAACGTGTCCCTGATCAAGACACTTTAAGCCCTCATTGCTCCAGAGGCGTGTGACCTCTGACATGTATAGCAATTGTAAGTCGCTTTGGATAAAAGCGTCAGCTAAATGAATAAATGTAATGTAATGATACTAGATTCCGGTGAGCGATGAAATGGTCTTTTTGTGTGATGTTATGATCAATTATGAGCCATATTTATTATATTGTTAAGAAATTATGGTGAAGTTTTAATCTTCTGGGTATTTTGTCATACAGAAAAATGTATACACTCTAGAGTCTGCAGTGGATTCGCTGCAGAAGGAGAAAGAGGAACTCGTTTTGGCACTTCAGTCTGCAAAGAAAGACACTAACCAGGCTAAGTATGAACAATTTTTTTGGGGGGGGTGCTGTGGTTTGGTTTTGCCTATAGTAATATTTTTGCTAAGTAATAAAGGTAATTAGTTTAGACAAGACAGTAAAGTAATCTTAAAAACCTTCACTCTGCACTTTCTTTTTCACCTTCACCTTCATCTGATAAACTATCTTCTAGGCTCAGTGAGCAGCGGAGGAAGAGACTGCAGGAGCTTGAGGGCCAGCTCAGCGACATGAAGAAGAAGCTCCTTGAGCAGTCCAAACTGCTGAAACTCAAAGAGTCCTCTGTTCAGAAAGTTGACAAGCTCAATCAGGAGATACAGGTAACTAGTGATTTTCTAACTTGTGAGGGGTGCTTTATGTACGCATGTACAGTAAATCTGTATGACTGTTTTCATACCATAGTTATTAGTTACCATAGTTAGAGCTTTACTTTTTTAGCCTAAAAGAAAATAATTTTATATGAATTTCACATAGGTGTCATGCCATCTTGTGGCCCCATCACTCATGACCAGTGTTGGGCAAGCTACTTGGAAAATGTAGTGAGAGTTAGCTACTAGCTACTCTACATTAAATGAAGGTTCACTATACCAAAGCTACCCCCCCAGTGAAATGTAGCAAGCTAAGCTACAGCAATGTGGCAAAAGTAGCTTAGTTACATCTAAGACGCACGCACGCACTGTTTATATTGAACTAACTTCATTCCACAGTAGCAATTGAAGAAAGACTAAAAATCTGCGTGTGTGTGCGAGAGACAGCTAAATCAGACACACAGAAACTCTCCTATGTATTTCCTCATGCAACAAACGGAGAACCACTGTTGTTTGTATAAAGCTACTTATCTCTTAAGCTACTTAAGCTAATTATCACATTATTAATTAATTATATATTTTTTATTGTTTGTGAATTTGTGCTCTGGCACCATTGCCACCTAATCATTCATGGCAATGGGCGAGAGAGAGAAAGAGAGAGATCTCTCATCTCATGGAAACAAGTTTCTGCCACTATATGTCAAAGTAGTACCACCAAGCTACTGAGAAATGTAGTTAAACTAGTAACGATGCTACTGCCCAACACTGCTTATGACTAATTATTATAAAAGACAAAGTGTGTCACATTTGGGAAATGTAGGTTTTTGTGCTATAAACTACATAAAGATGCATATAAAAAATACAGTATTTAGATCTTACATGTATTGAAATAGCCTGCTGAGGTTTTCAGAGTTGTATTCGAACAGCTGAAGCTATATGTACATGAACAAATGTTACTGTCGTAATGATGCATCATTGAATGAGGTAGATCATTCCTGTGTCAAAGCCATCTCAATAATATTAAAAATGTACTTGTTAATTTATTCTGTTGCTACATATGAAACAAGTAACAGTGACATTAGTCTTTGATCTATGTAGTCATTCACTTGAGTGTCTATCATCATCTATCAGGGAGGTGAAATTCTTTGTAAAGACCAAAAAATATAAAATCTTGTTCTACTTTTATCACATGGCATAATCATGTGAACTGAATCGGCATCGAGTAATAGACTGCTAATATATTATAATCCTAAATGTTACACTTGTAAGCCACAAATGCCAAATCTAAGCCCAGTAACACTGTGTTCTCACAGGCAATGAAGACCCAGCGTACACAGCTGATGAGGCAGATGAGGGAGGACTCTGAGAAGTTCAGAAACTGGAAGAGCAAGAAGGACAGGGAGGTGCTGCAGCTGAAGGAGAAGGTATAGGAAGATTAAGTTCTTCTTAAGACGCTGCAGGATGTTTTCTCTTGCTACTAAATCCTTTTTTCCTTATACTCATTAATTGAGGTTGTCTGACTTCATCAACCCCATAAACCCTGTTTATTTTCTCTGTTTTACAGGATCGTAAACGCCAGTATGAGTTAATTAAACTTGAGAGGGATTACCAGAAACAGGCCAATGTTCTGCGTCGTAAAACTGAGGAGGTGAGGCTTTTGGTGCAATTTCATTTATGTAATCTATAATAATTAATTATATTTTTTATTGTTTGTGAATTTGTGCTCTGGCACCATTGCCAGCTAATCATTGGATTTAATGTTTTCAACATATATAATGTAGCAAGTTCTTAACGTATATTGTATTTTAAATTTGTGTCACTAATTTGCACTTACAATTAGGGATGCACCAAAATGAAAATTCTTGGCTGAAACCAAATATAATGAAAAACTTTGCCGTATACCGAACAAGGATTTTCACTATTTTTTTTTTTTTTTTCATTAAATCGCCTGTTTTTTACCATTGCATAAATTAAATAGTCAAAATGTGCTATTTACTCAGGATTTAGAGAGACTATGGTGGGTGGGTCTGAGGCCCGAGAGGGTCTGGTACAGTAAATTGTGTATCCATTTACTTTTAATGGACACATGTAATATGTTTTATACTTTCTGTGAATATAATCCAATTAATTTACATTCAGTATAGACACCTTATTTTCAAAACCGGACGGATCCCTGCCCTAAATTCATTAAAGTCCGACCCAATTGGATAAATAGTGTTGTATGTCGTTCATGAAGGCTTCATAGCCTCACTTCAGGTAGGACTCTCATACTGCAACACTTTGTCTTTGTAAATGGAGAAAATGACAGGATAAAGTCAGTGACCTGCCTATCAGCTCGCACTGGTCTGTTTCAGTTACCATAAAGGCTTGAATACGTCTGCACTCCAAATGTAGGTGCAGCTAGCTTAATGGCCTTCTCAGAAAAAGTGAAAAACACAGATGTGCTAAGAGACAATTTTTTCTTGCTAATTTCGGCTTCCGAGCATTCGTTGCATCTCTTCTTACAATTAATCTCAAAGTGCAATATGACCAAGTGCGATGTCCAAGAAGCTGCAATTTTTTGATGAAGGAATGAAATATGTGACACAACAGTATTCTAATGAAGTACTGTAGTGCTGCAGAGATACCTGGCCTACAAATCCAACAAATGTCACATCATCATGATTTTAATAGTTTTCTAAGTGAAAATGAAAACTGTGATGTACAAATTATCTTTCCTGCTAATCGTGAATCAACAGGCTGCGGCTGCAAACAAGCGGTTGAAAGATGCCCTACAGAAGAGGAGTGAGGTAGCAGAGAAGCGCAAAGATACCCATAACAGAGGAATGGAGGGAGCTTCTGCAAGAGTTAAGGTAGTAAAACTTATTCATACAACAACCTGTATTTGTGTGTAAAATTATTACTGACCCGTTGGCGACTTTATTTCTAAAACATGATGCTATGATTTATGCACATAAATGGTCTTAAAATGACTAACATTGTTTGTCACAATTATTGCTGGGAAAATATATTGTATAACAAAAGTACGTAGTTATCGTGACGGGCCTAATCAGAGGGTGATAACTAAAAAATTACATTATTACCTCAATGGAATTTCAGCCAATAATTACATTAGATGATACAGAATAGGCTGCGTACTAGGGACGCCACCTGGTTAGGTTACATAGATCCACCAGTAAGAATTGTAATCAATAGCCGGTATGGTTACGCAGACTTATGGAGTTTGTTTGATTTGTAGTGAATTGTTGTGAACCAGCTAAAAGCGAATGTTAATTGTATATAAAGGTAGCGCCTAGTTAGCTGTGCATCTGATAATGAGTTGAATTCTTGCACACTTTGAGGCTCAAAGCCTTTATAAGTAGATTATCTTCACATCAGCAGTAGGGGGGAGGATGAATGAGGCCACAGGATTGTTGTCCAGTTTAATGTTAAAGATGTACAGCTTTTCAATTCAATAGGTCAATAGCTTTAGGTAACCATTAATTAATCCAACAGTATGTACAGTTATTCTAATGATTTTTGTACCCTGTAAATGCTTGTCAAAAAGGAGATACGGCTTCACATTTATATTTATATTATTTATATTTGAGGATTTTAAAATCTGATATATTGGCTGATATTCCTTTATTATTCTTTTCAGAAACACATAACATAAACAAACATTATCCCTAAAATTTGTTATGTGTAGTTATAAGAACTCACCAAGATAACATGACACAATGCAGTTTAAAAATAAACTTTTGTATTTCTTATAAATAGTACTTTGAACAAAAGCACAGCTAGTTATGTCAGCTGTACTTTTGTTCAAAGCTGCTGTTTTGTGGAGTTGCAGATTGCCCTCTGATGGACAAACTATGAAAAGACAACACTCATAACATGATTGAAGGATCAGTCTTCCCTGTTTCTGTTTTTTATTTTTTTTATTTTATTATTATTTCTCAGCTGTTATAAACACAGATAAAGGTTTTTCTGCAATGAGCTCATATCGACCGATAATATGGGCACACCGATTTATTGGGTCAAATGTATGTGTGTTTAAGAGTACAGACTATTCTGAGAATGTGATCACTGATGTTCCTGAACAAAAGTCAACAGTGTTTGTTCATATGTAAATGTACTGAAATGGGATCCACATTAGATAACGAGAATGTTGCCGTCTTAACTCTGTGACTGTATTCATTTGATCAGACGTGGCTTCTCAATGAAGTGGAGGTGATGGTCAGCACAGAGGAGGCCCGGCGACACCTCAAAGATCTGCTGGAGGACAGAAAGGTCTTGGCTCAGGAGATCAGCCACCTCAAACAGCAGATGGAGGCAGGGGATCGACCTGCTGCCAAAATCAGGGTGAGATGTAAATTCTTTACTGTTAAACATGCACACTTAAGCACAACATTGAGAACAAGTGAGACAGCTGGTGCACCAGCAAGGTAGAAATGTTACAAAGAATTGATCCTTTGCTGTGTTGGTTACCCTCCCCTGCAGCGTCGGACACTGATCATCTCTGAGCTAGAGAGCCAGGGGGCGCTGGAAACGCCTCTGACCAAACAGGTGGAGAACCTGGAGACAGAGATGGCCCTCAGGTGAGTCTGACAAAGCTGCTCAGCATTGATCTTAACACTTGACTGGCATTCATCATAGTCTGCCTCCCACATTGGTGGAATCACCTTCCAGTCAATAGCTGAGCCATTGTGCTACTTATCTACACAACAGTTAATGATGCACAAAAATGCACTGAGATTTTTAACAGCTTCCTTCAGGTCACTGCTGTAAACATTTTTCAAACGACTATCAGTTTTAAGACTAAAAGGATTTTTTTTTAACGTCATTGCAGGAATTGTTAAGATTTGCAGAGTGATTTCTATGTTAACAGGAATGCCCAGATAGCTGACCTTCAGCAAAAAGTTGTTGTCGCAGACAGTGAGGGTCGTTTGAAACAGCGTATAGATGGTATCACAAGCATCGTTGAGGCCAAGTGTGCGCTTAAAGTCCTGATGTCTGAGGTGAGCAAATGCTAATATTTTATTTTATATCCACACCTATGTGTTAAATTAGTAATAGTACATTAATGTGTTGCTGTTTGTTTTCCCTTTTTTATTTAGCTGGTGTCTGCTAAAACAGCCAATGCCAAGCTGGAGAGCGAAATCAAACAGGAGAAAGGAAATGCGCAAGATTTAAGGAAGATGCTGGCTGACGAGAGAAATGTGATGTCAACCATGGACATGGAGCACCAGCAGCAGTTGGTGGAACTAGAGCAGAGGCATCAAGAGAAGGTGCTTTCACTCGTATACCAATATTCAGCTCTTTTTAGAGACATGTATATTTATATAATGTTCTGTATTATATTTTCTTTTGTACAGGTCCTTTACTTCCTTAACCAGCTACAGAACAAGCCCTTATGTGGAGAGTCAGATGGAACAAAGCCGAAAGATGAGGGGAATTCAAAGGAGAAGGAGCTTCTCCAGCGCCTCAAAGTTCAGGTCGGTCTCCACTAGCTGAAGAATGTTTGATCAACCTCTAAGTCTGCATTTCTCCCCGTTTTAGGAGAAATCATGCAGATTAATCACAATCATGTGCTCATCTGTAATATCATTTTAGGAAAATGACCTTGAAAAGCTACAAGAGTTAAGTGAGCAGAACCAGAAACTGTTGGACGAGAATGAGCAGTACAGACAGGTAACTTTCATCTGTTTTTATTTTGGATTTAAATGTTAAGTTGAATTTTCAATTATGAATACCATACTCTAGTGTATTGTATTTCGCTCCGGGGTAGAGCAGGTCGTACACTAACCAGTAGGTTTGTGGTTGGATCCCCTGCTCCCCCAGACTACATGTCGAAGTATCCTTGTGCAAGACACTGAACCCCAAATCGCTCCCAGTCGCTGTGCCATCGGTGTGTGAATGTTAATTACGTTCTGATGTGTAGTTAACACCTTAGTCTCTGTCCTCAGTGTATGAATGTGTGTGAATGTGATGTTGTGTAAAGCACTTTGAGTGGTCGCAAAGACTAGACAGGCACTGTACAAATACTTTTACCATGTACCACAGTGATGAGCAGGGACTTAAGGCCAGGAATAGAATTTTTTTTTTTTTTAAAGTTGACTGTAATGTTTAGATGACTAATTCATTTTATTTTTAAATAGTTGTAATTTAATGACATTGACCATGACCGCATGAAAACAATTGATCATGGAAGTGAATAGATGTGTAAAAATGTGGTGCTTTTATCTTTACTTCCGCTGTGTGACTGGCTCTGTTATTCCCTCCACAGAAATTGTCATTGGTCCACCTGGCAAGTGGAAAGAAAATCCTTGCATCTACGACCAACAATGAAAAGAGTGCAGATGACTCGTTTGAGTACATTCCTCCAAAGGTAAGTTGTTGCAGATTTACAGAATTACCGTGTAACTCTGGCACCACACATGGGTGGGATGTGCAATCGATATTGAACAGCAACTATGTAAAGCGTGCTTACCTCGACAACCCAGTTATATTCTAATGTTAACATATCCTTACCAGGATCCTTACATGCTTGCTTGAGTTCCCATCTCCCACAGAAAACACTGCTGTGAACTGCTTGAAAACAGCTCGTTTGTTGTCCAGCCGCTTCCCTTTCATCCTTGTGACGAGACAGGCATGAAAGCTAAATGCGCCTCATATAAGGCTTGCCAAGCGGCTACTCCGACATGCCCTCAAAAACACAGGTGGAAAACCACTGCGCTGCAGCACACACCTCCTCTCCCTTCCAAACACTAGCTACCTTCCAGGCAGTCGATGGATAAACTTGTTACTGGGATGTAGAGACAGAGCTAAGTTAAAACTTTATGGATGAAAGATACTTTTGTTACAGATTAATAACTCACCACTCTGAAATTCTTGCTCCAGTCTATGTTGCCAAGCTGGTCGGCAATAGGGCTGGGCGGTATATCGGTATATGAGGTATACAAATATAACTTCAAAAGAGATATGAGATATGACAATACCGTTTATAACGATATAATTTGATGTTGAGTTAATTATTATGTTTCTGTAAAGTCCTGCCAGCCTGTGCAAATAGTACAAACATACCTGCTAAAACCTAAATCTCAAAATAACTCAGAATGCCTTATTAGCTGCACTGCATTATTCAGTTAGTTTTACATTTTGAATTGTGTCACGGCCACCCCATTAATCATAAAAGGTGCAAAAAAAAAAATGACTAGATGCAGAAAATTGACCGTTTAATGCTCCAAGTGTTGATATATTACGGCATTGAAGATTTCTTAAAAAATCATGTTAAAATATCTCGATCTTGTGAAGCCAATATCATGTCTTGTCTCATAAACTAAGTGTCTCGTCACACCCTTATTAATTAGCATTAGATCCTGGCCGATCCTGTCAGTGTGCCAGAGATTTAAATAATCAAAGAAGTTACGCTGCCTAAATGCATACACCATCTCTCTTAATGCGGAGACCCTATTTCACCCAACTGCAGCCCATCCAGTATTATCAGAATGTTCATTCATCAACAATGTGCCTGAAGGCTGGAAACTAATGACACTTGCACTGTGCTATGTGCTACTTTGCGCCCGGTGTAAATAGGGCCCTATGTATTTATTTTTTAATATAGATTTAATATTTCAAGTGACTTACAGGACTATGGCTTCATAAATACCCTGTAGAAATGTAACCAGTGTGTTTATCTTCCTTTGCGTGTGTTCTCTACAAACGAAAGCCTAAAGGGAAGCGCTTAACCACAGCTAAAGCACCACTGAATATGGCCATCAACATTGAAGAGCTGATATCTCCCAGTGAGGATGAGAATGAAGACGAAGAGGACGACTGGCAGCCTGAGAAACCTGAAAAGGGACGCAGAACAAAAAAAACAAAAGCAACAGGGGTAAGACTGGGATTAGGATTGGTGTCATCTTCAAACTGCTAATTTGTGTATTAAACCAGTAAGCATAGACCCTGATTGTCCACAGTGCTCACTGAAAGATCATGAAGAATGAGCAAAAACCAATCATAAATAGCATATTAAATCAGCTTACTAATGAAAAAGACCATCTCATTTCATTATAAAAAGTCACATCATTCACTGGAATATGCACTAGATAAGTGAAAAGCAGAGGAACCATCCAAAGTAAACCTTTTGTCCAGAGAGTTAAAAAGGAGCTGCAAATACTTTTCAGGATAGTTGGGTTACATGTCCTGATGCACAGTTGTTTCTCTTTCTTTAGTGTGCTTGTAAAGGGCGCTGTATCAACAAGCAGTGCAGATGCCGCAAAGGAAAGATGACCTGTGGGGAGAACTGTCAGTGTGATCAGGAAAAATGTCGAAATATGGCTACCAAGGTCCCTGCTGAGGTAAGTTACCAGATGAAATCTTTTATTCGAAACATCTAATCCTTCAGATGTTGTCTGGTCTTAATTTGGGAAACAAATGGCTTGCTGGTGTAGGCATATTTAACCGTTAACACACTCTAGCACATAGGTTCTTTACACCTGCACACCTCTTGAGAAACACAATAGCCTGTCTTAGGTAGGATTATTTTTGAATAGACTACAGTAATTGCAAAAAAGATCCAACAAATTTCACTGTTTCATGCAACTAAAATTTGTAAACATCTTAAACATCTCCAGGTTGTCGGGATGTGTTTTGAACACCTCATTGAACTTTATGGCATGTTCATGTAATACAGTATAGGCTCATCAGAGCAATTTGTTCCCCTTTTTTGTTAATAAATTCCCATTTTAAAACCACTTGCTTATGGAATCCATGAAGCACGAAGAGTGTGCCTTGTCTATGACGACACCACGTATCTGTAACACGCCCGCTCTGCGACACTGGTAGCTTCGGGGGGTCGACCACCCCACCTGAAAAAAAATCCTAGGGGCAACACTGATTATTCCAAATTTCTCTTCTTTAGTTACTTCTAATAAACTAGTCGACCATGTAAGGGGGCCTGTGGTTACGTAGATAGAAACGGCTCATTCTAAGATGATAAAAATATAACTGTTCATTATGTAATGTCTTTATACACCACTGAAAAGTTATGTATATTACATTACATTTCTGTCAATAGATCCTCTTAAATATTACACACTGGACACATCTTTGATAAGAATACCTTTTATATGCTTTATTGAAAACATGAGATTATTTTATGGAAGTACAGTGCAGAATAATAAGCCTTGTTCTCAATTTTGGACTTTGTACTTATTTCAGGATGCAAGTCTCACAGAAAGTGTTTCCAGAGACTCTGTGTCTCTTCAAGATCCCACATCTTTCAGCCCTGACAACACCACATTCTTTAAGCCGCCATCTTGTACACCCACTAAGAAGGTAAGGTGGCTCCTTCTGAAGACTTAGCAGTACAAAAAGTTAATCATCCGTATGGTGGCCTCCACAATGCCGAAGATGCTGCATGAAGATTATTCCTGTTCATTTAAGCAAACGCTGCTAATCCACAATACCTCAAACAAGAGCCTGACCACTTAAAACTGTTGGGATTGTAAATATGTATTGTGGCATATAGTATCGTGCCTATGCTTGTTCCCATTGGATCTTTAAAGGATGTAATGCAGAACTAACACCGGTGTAATAATATGTACTATTTTAGGTGCTAAAAGAAATCGGAGACATAGGACATGCCACTGCAGACCTAAAGTTGGTCAGAAAACCTGTGCTGCCAGAGGAAGAGGAGGAGGAGGAGGAGGAGATGGAGGATGATCAGCAGGGAGACAGAACAACAGTCAGCTTCCTGAAGAAGAAGAAAAGAATCCTGACGAGTTTTCAGAACAGCTTTTTCTCTGGATGCACCCCAATCAGAGAGGAATCTTAATCTGAGCGTGGTAGGGCTTTTTACATCAGGTCCATATCCATATGTGTTTGGTTAAATGTTTTGTCAACGTGTTTTCAGTCTTTATTTTAAATGTGACTAAACTGTTGTGTACTGTAACTTGAAAGTAGCTGTTGATTCTAAAACGCTTTTGTATTTTAAGCAAACAGAAGGACTGTGAATAATTAATCGTTTACTGGAAATCACAATGAGATGAACTGCCTGTACATAATATTTTAGTTTTTCGTGTTCCATGATATTTCTAATAAAGTAAGACTAAATTTACTTTGCTAATTTGAAGTCCCGCACACTGTCTCTGAAATATTTACATTTCATTTCAATTATTCATTTGATTACAAAGTTTTGGTCTGTCGGACCATCGTTAGGTACATGGGCAGCATCGTTTTCACATGCAGTATACAGGGAAGCAGATTTGGGATCTGGATCTGCAAGGACAGAGTCACAGGGTGACCTGTGCCTGAGTCTTTGCCTTGGTGCTTGTTCAGTTTTTGACGGCACATGCCTTTAAAAATCTCTGAGGAGTGTTATGACGACCTTAATTGGCTTGTATGAAGAAATTTATTTTAGCTGTACTGGTTGTGAAATCAATTTATAAACATATCTATGCCCTGCAACTGACAAATTGCATTTCTTTTCATATAGCAATGTCCATAATGACAGCATTTTGTGAGTTAATGCAAGATGGGTGGCAACGTTAGTGATCATTTACTGTACTTATTCCCCCCTAGGCAATTTGCATCTTTGTCACCTTTTTCACCCAAGCTGCTTCAGTCATCCAATTCGAGGACTACAGAGATTGGATTGACCAATGATCCGTAAACTTGCTCAAAGCGTATGCGTCACAGGCATTAAAAATATTAGAAATATACCAATAAATCATGTCAGTCTACATCAATGTAACATCGTGCGGAGCAACACTTTTCGCTGCTTTTAGGATCGAGACTGAAGTCTTACAGTCAAATCTTGTCTTTAAACAAACTTCTTCTTTTTATGTCTGAATGTGTATCTGGGTTTTATCTCAGTGTCATGAGTTTATGGAAAATAAATGTCATTTATTAGTCTTTTATGATTGTTTTACTTTTGACTCTTGGTGGCAGTTAGTATTTAGTGTACAGTTGTTTTTTTTTATATTTAATTAAAGCTAGAACAGAGTGCTCTTTAGGTGTTGCAACATTTTTTGTTGACCCCTGAGTTTTGCTCCTGTACCCCAGCCCTCTCTATTGCTTTCACCCCCAGATTCCCCTCGGATCCCCCTTGACCCTCTGGCCTCACCGCCTTTTTAAAAATATCCTGTGCAAAGGGCCGACCCCTCCAAGCAGTATTACTGTTGAATCTGCAAATACATTTTTCTTTTTTTTTTTAAGCCAGGGAGCTCATACATCATGACTATGACCCTCACTGAGAGATCATGAAGGGTGAAAACAAATCATATCCAGGATATTAAACCAGCCTACTAATGAAAAAGACCATCTCATTGAAAAATGTCACATCATTCTGTGGATATGCACAAGATATGTGAAAAGCAGAGTTAGAGGGGTCATTTGTGAGGTTCTGTCCAGCCTCCTGTGAAGTTTCTATCTTTCCTTCTGGTCCTGTCTGAGTTGACCTGATAATAGTTGTCTGAAATTAGACATACCTGACCAGGGGGCACATGTTGGTTTGTGGGCAGTTTGTATTAATTGAAATTAATATTGAACTGAGATGTGAGAATCATTGAGAACTTGGTGGGATATAGTAATCTCTATTGTTTAACAGCATCATCAACTTGTAGCCTGAATCTTTTTGGAGGGGATTGGAGGAAAAGATTGATACACACTGCTCTTTTATTATAGTGATAGGATAATCTTAAACGGAATTGTGCTTTTGGTAAGGGGTAGTTTTGCCCCATACTGAGTTACGCTGTTTTAGAATTGAATAGCTGCATTTAGTAGTACACACATTTTTCTCGCAAATCTCTCAAACGTTCAGAACAAAATAAACAGACTCCTTTGTTTGTTTGTTTTTTAAATACAAAGCAGTTTGTTGTGATGCTTAAAAAGATATATATTCAGATTTTTTTTCCCTTTCCATTCATTGTCTGAAATGTTTGAATGTATTTAGATCCCATCCAGCGCACAGGATCTTAACTAGCTTTTCTGTTATGAGGCTTTACTGTCACACTAGTAGTTCATTACATTTCAGTGATTGCTCTTTCTATGTTCCACATTGTTTAAAGTATCTGATGAATAAAATGGTGCAATTTCAACTAAGCGGTGTCTGACTATAATTTAATTGTTTAATTATGTTTTTAGAGAACAACTTTATTTTGGAAACAAATTAATTGTTTAAGTAATTTTATCAAACAAAAATGCCAATTCTAGCTTCTCAAATGTTTAATGATTTGCTGGTGTTCTGTTTTATAATTGTTGGAATTTAACGTCTTTGTGATTTTGGAGATTTATGATGGGAATTTCATGCCAGTGCCTGACCAATACTGGGTTTTAAAAAAATATCTCTGATACAATACTTTATATCGATCGCCATTTCTGACAAGGATTCTTGAAACTTGATTATTAAAGATTTATGACCAAGAAATGTACAGAGACAATTTGCAGTTGAAAATAAACTTCAGTCAGTCCAATTTTGTGTTTGTTACTGAGTGATATGTGGGGGCAAAGAACCTACATTGATTCCATACTCTTTGTAAGGGGTGTGACATGAGAACTTGTGATATGGGGGTTGACACAGTTTTTGATAAATCCCACTGAAGGTCTCACAAGGTGTTGACATTTCTGGCTTTCAACTTTCACTACCCAGCATGTGCTTTATTTTGGAACAAAATCTTTCCACATGGTGACATTTCAAATCACTGCCAATTCTTCTCTACAACTCCCCAAACATTTTCATCTGATCAACAGCAGACAACATTGCTCTGAGCATTTTAGACCATGATGCCAAAGAACTATTGTTTGAATTTCTTTATGGAGTTTTTCTATTGAACTGTGTTCAGACTTTGAACAAAAACAAACAACAATAAACGACTTACCAAAAAGGAGGAGGAATACATGGGTAACATATTATAGATTCAAGGAAGAAAAAAATACACAGGATGAGTGAAATATTCATTTCACTCATCCTGTGCATCACATTTCTGACAGTGGGATGAACGGGAAATGAGAGGTCGCTTCCATTTGAGAACAACTCATTCGGGTGTTAGAGCTGAGCAGGCAAATGCTTTGTTTAGGATTTTAGAAATAGTTGTAAGAGCCCTTCTTGTGTACAGTGGGGCTCACCAATAGAGGGCGATAGAGGTCAGAATACATCTTTAAGGCCTAATGACTAGCCTTAGTATTTCACAGTGGATGTCTCGGTACCAAAGCTTATTTTACTTCTATGAGCTTATTACTGAGCCTCTGTATCAAACACTATAAATTCCAGTTTGACAGTTCTCGATGGGGTAGAGGTGTCCTCACACACGAGCCCAAAGCCTCAAATCTTCCCAGATTTTATGATGGCTTGTATGTGTCGGGATTGAGAAATCCAAACTCGAGCAAAAGAATATGAAATGAGATCATGTCCAACTTGAGCAATAAGGATATATTTGAGATGAGCAGAGATGAAGGCCTGATCCTCACTGACTATCACTGGAAATTCAGAAGGGGGAAAGTGCCTGAGGTTTTTAATTTGTATAGTATTTAATATATTCCACATTTCACAGTGAGATTATTCTGTGCTGCAGGTTTATGCATATTAAGTTCCTCTAATGATCTCCAAGAGCAACAGACTCTATTTTCCTTACAGAAATGTCTTTGTAATTGCCATTCTGTCAGTGTCAACATCCAAGTTATATTAGCATAGAGTTCAAAACAATAAAAATACTTGTATTTCTATTTCTACTTGGTCTTTTTGACAGATTTTCTGAATTTGTTAGCTGTTTTCTAAGTTTCTGCAAGGGGCTTATACTTCTATTAACATCTTAAGTATTGTGTTTTAAGAGTGGGCAGTGCTGACATTTTGTGGGTACTTGTATTTGCAAACAGATCAAATAAGATTAAGATAACTCCAAAGGAGAAGTACAGGTTACATGTGCATAGATTTAAAATGACTAGACTTAAAATGAAATTAAAAAATATGATATTATTAATATATATGAAAGCAACAGTGATAATTAGTTTAAGAAATGTACAGATGTTTGTAGCTCTGTTGCCCCAGAACAAATGTTTGTTATGGTTTATCAGGCTTAAATATGCACTATAATCTGCTGTGTGAACTGAACAACCTAAGTGCAGCTTCTGATCTGTTATTTTATTAAGAATATTTTATAAAGCATCTTGTTAAAATGTATGACATAAATTGTTGTGTCATTGTCAGTAAAGTAAAAGGTTATCAGAAAAGTCAAGAATAAAACTGAATACATCAGTAAATAATATTCTTAGTTAAACAATTTAAATGGAATGTAAAAAGAAATGTACTTTCCCACTGGAGTGCGAAAGACAAGGTGGTTAGCCAGGTTAACTTTAAACAACGGTGGCTAAATACACTGATCACCAGTCATTTCAGCTACCCAGCTGAAGCTAATGCTCCAGCCTGTGCACGTAATGGTAATCATCCATACACTATATTCTGCTGTGGCATCAATGTATATGCACTTTAGCCGGCAAGCTAAAGCCAACAAACTTAGCTAACTAGCACTACCAGTAAGTTCACAGACACCATGCTTTAGTTTTAAGGACAGTATCTTTATGTGCATGTCTACATCAAGGCTGAGCACTGACAGACTGAGATGGCGCTGCAAACATGTACTAAGTCAAAGTATCTCACTGGTGTATTTAAGCAAAGCCTAACCAAGTACTTTTGGTGCCTAAACCTAACCAAACTGCGACCATTTCACAACATTAACAATGTGTTTTAAGGCTCAGGACTTTCTTCAGGTGTCACTGAATTTATTAACAACTGAGCCAGGCAGAGTTGCCCACTCTCTCCCTCACTTTGTGCCATTTTTATTATTATTTTTTAACCATTAGCAGCTGCTATCAGACGAAATAAAACTATTAAAGAAATTCAAATATAAAATGTACAACACAAGATAAGCCTTTATGCAGATGATGTGTTACTTTTCCTCCTAAACTCCTAAACTTCTCTGTCTGAGACAAACACACTTCTAGATAAATTCTCATCTGTCTACTCAATTAACAGGAGTAAATCACCTGTGTGATTTCCAGAGTATATCTACCATGATGGAATAATATCTGGGTGTCAATATTTCCTTCAGGCTGTCATAACTGACATGGCTAACATACACGCCTAGTTGCCACCATAAAAATGATGATCCTGCCCAAAATCAATTACCTGTTTTCAACAATACCCACCAAACCCTCTGCTGTCTGGTTTAAGTCACTGGACTCAAACATCTCTAATTTTTTTAATGCAAAAATCAACCTCCACATTATGGTGATTTAGAACTACCAAATTTCTTTCATTACTTTATGGCCAACAGACTACAATATATCTTTGAATGAATCAATCGAAGCCCACTTGACCACTCATGGATGGCCATAGAACAAACATTCTGTAAGGGAAAAAAAATTCTGATATGCTCCAGTATTAAACATCATACTTGCTTTAAAAGCATTAACATAAGCACTTCCCTGGAAGTCTGGTTGGAATTTGTCAAAATATCTAGTAGGTCTTCACCTATCCCATGCAGACTTGCTCCGCCTAGCCTGTGTTGTCGGGTTGGGTTTTGGCCTGCTACTTTGGGGGTGGCTGTCTGGGGGGGCAGGGCCCACTTTCAGGGTCTGGGCCAGCCTTGGGTTTGTGGGGCACAGCTTGATGCATGCACACACATACACCCACACACTCACAGACACACACAAACAAATTTAGGTTGTCAATAGTTGTCAACAGGTAGCTGCATTATTCTTTATGTATATCAGTAACTTATTTATTGAATATAATTGTTATCATTTCCCTTCTCATTGCTGTGCTGTGTTTATTTATTTTACTTAACTGTTTCTCCTTTTCATTCTCCCTCCGTTGTTTTCTTATGTCTGCTGTTTATTGCTGTTGTTTGGCTGTATGTCTCAAGCCCCTTCCATGTTATTTCCACATCATAACATAAAAGCTCATGAACACCCCAAAGTCAGAAGAACGACTTACCAAATCGGCAAATGGAACCATTCAAGGAGCATGTGAAGGCACCAGGTTATGTATGACAAAAATACATTAGTGCAAGCTCCCACCACCACCACCCTGAACCCATAGAATCTGCCTTTACACCAGCGTGATCTGGGCTCTTTTCAACCAGACTGAAATTGCATGAAAGCGGCGGTACTCTGCATCTGATTGGACTATGATATTCAGAAGCAGGCCAGACATTTGAAAATGTGTATAATTTAATAATACAATTGATGATAATAATGAATTCTTTTTTTTTGTAGGAGGGCAGCAGTTTATCGCCCTCTATTGGCCAGCCCCCCCTTAGTTAAACACTAATCTACTTCATCAGGAATGTGTGGGTGTGGTTTGATCAGACAACTATAAAACAATGCAGCACTCATCAGATTTTTATTCAAATATTGCTCAACCCAGATTGGTGCGTGGTATGTGACATCACCTTTTTCCATCTGAGCTCCTCCCACTTGAAACCAGCAAGATGAACACAGTGAAATACAGAAATCTCTCAAGTGAAATAATTAAAACTGTTCTAACTTGAGAAAAATAACTTGTTCATATAGGATCCCATTACTCATAGTAAGAAGCTTATTGAGAAAAGAAGTTTTCAGGGTCTTTAAACACTGTCCTCTTATTGTTATACTGCAGCTTCCTTAAAGATGTGTTTTCAAATACAATGCCCAGATGTCTGGAAATGAAAATATGAAGAAACTGCAGACGGATTACTTAATATGATCTGTTACACGACTGGATTTCTCTTGACATAATGTTAGAAAATTCAAACCAGTCAACCAAAAAGTGTGCTCTTCATGTGAGAAACATTTGTCATCAGATATCTGAGGCCTGGCTGTGTGAAGTGGAAATGTGTTTGAAGCTTTGAAGTAGCATGCTCTTTTGATCTCAGCTTCTCAGTTGAGTTTAGCACGACTGGACCACAAAATCTATGAGATAAATATAGAAAGCGCAAAAAGTAAAGTAAGAAATGTGGAATAGAGGCAAATAGGAGCTTGTGAGGGACCCTCTCAATAAAACTCAGTCCACATGTAACCAAATATAATTAGCTGACAAAACAAAATTAAAGAAAGAAGTAAC